CTTGTTTTTCACTAATGCCTTCAGTACAGCTTAGACTTCTTTCTTTAATATTATCAGTTCTTAATAATTGTTAAAAATTTTTTCCAGCACTTACCATCTTTATTTTCACAATAAAATGGATAAAAAAGGGAGAGGGTAAGGAACAGTGGAGATTGCATTGTGACTTTAAATTCTAGTCAGAGAATTGAGATACATATTAACAGCCAACTGATAGTTTAAAGAAAATTACAACAGGAAGATGCACACTATCAGGCATGAGTAGGTAAAACAAAGTCTGGAGAAAAAAGTCCTTCAATGTTCCAGTGACAAAGAATGAAGGCTCTTGGTTTGATGCACAGAGTAGATCCTGGCCCCAGGAAGTACGTGCACCTCACAGCTAAGTCTAGCAGTGGAACCAAATAGAGAACTTGGGAGACATGGGCACTGCCAGAGGCTGATCACTTGACTTAACCTCCACAGCCTGATACTAATGTATTGGATTTGCCTTGTGCACCAGTTCTTTCTATACCTGAGCCAGCTACTCCTTCTTCCACTCTTCCTCCTACTGCTGAAATGGTTGAACATCAATCAATTCTTTCTGGTACAGTAAGTGTGTATTCCTTCCAACTTCTTTTGATGTTTCCTGAATCATTCAATATTTTGCCCATAGAATCCTTTGATATTACAACTTGAAGCTTGAATTTTTTCTTCATTTCTTTCAGATGAAGAAATGTCAAGTGTGTTATTTCCTTTTAGTTTTATAACTCCAGATCTTAGATCTTAGTACACTGCATTATAATACTTCACTATGTTTTCTTGAGCCACCCTTTGAAATCTTCTGTTCAACTCTTTTACTTCATTTTTTTAACTTTTTTTTTTAAATTGTGATTTGGGTTGAAACTTACAGAGCAAATTCACTTTCCATACAGCAGTTCACATACACTTTGTCTCATGACATTGACTATAATTTACCACAATGCAACAGCTCCCCTCCCACTTCCTTCCAACAGTTACCTCTTCCCTGTGTCCATCCCTCCATGCACTCCTGCCCCGAGCTGTCTCCCTGTGCATAAACAGCCCTTCTTTCTCCCATGATTGATCTCTCCAAGGAATGTACCTAGCTCAGGTAAATGTTCAACTTATATGCCTGTCTTTTGTTTGACTGGAAGGCACAGGTATGGGTTCAATTCCAGACCCAAAGGGCAGCTACAGGCCACAGTCTCAGCGGTTCCACCAGGCTCTATCAGACCAGCAAACCTGATTCCCTCCCCCCTTTTTATTTTTTCCAAATGATTTTGAATTTTGTTCCACATTGTTCTCCCTCTCTATCCAGGATCTCCTACATAGATCCCCCTCCGAGTGCCTGACTCTTCATTTTTTCTATTAGCTTTATCTACTCTATGTTCAAGAGCTAGTTTCAGAATCTCTTCTCACATTCATTTTGATCTTTTCTTTTTTTCCTGTCTTTTTAATGATTTTTTGCTTTCTTCACGTATGATGTCCTTGATGTCATCTCACAACTCATCTGGTCTTCGTTTTGGTCATTAATGTTCAGTGTGTCAAACACATTTTTGAGATGGTCTCTAAATTCAGATGGAATATACACAAGGCTGTACTTTGACTCCTGTGACTCCTTTTAATTTTCTTTGGTTTCAACTTGAACTTGCATATGAGCAAATGATGGTCTGTTTCACAGTTGGCCTCTGGCCTTGTTTTGACTAATGATACTGAGGTTTTCCACTATCTATTTCTATAGATATCATCTATTTGATTCCTATGTATTCCAGTCAGTGAGCTCCAATTGTACAGCTGTCATTTATCTTGTTGAGAAAAGATATTTGGAATTAATAAATCATTGTCCTTGCAAAATCATTGTCCTGCATCATTTCTTTCACCAAGACCATATTTTCCAATAACCGATCCTTTTTCTTTGTTTCCAACTTTTGCATTCCAATCACCAGTTACTATTATCAATGCATCTTGATTTCATATTTGATCAATTTCAGACTGCAGAAGTCAGTAAAAATCTTCAGTTTCTTCATCTTTGACATTAGTGACTACTGCATAAATATGAATAATAGTCTTATTAATCAGTCTTCCTTGGAGACGTATGGATATTATCTTAGCACCAACAGCACTGTATTTCAGGATAGATGTTCAAATATTCCTTTTGACAATGAATATGCTGCCATTTCTCCTCAATTTGTCATTCCTGGCATAGTAGACCACATCACTGTCCAATTCAAAGTAGCACTAGCAGTCCGTTCCAGCTCCCTAAAACCTAGAATATTGATCTTTATGTGTCCTACTTAGTTTTTGACAACTTCTAAAAGTCCTAGATTCATTACTTTGTACATTCCATGTTCCAGTTGTTATTGGATGTTTGCTGCTGTTTCTTCTCATTTTGAGTTGTGTCACACTAGCAAATAAAGTCTGTCACTACCATTCATCTGTCAGTTTGTGGTACTGCAGTGGCTTCCATGTTGCTGCGATGCTGGAAGCTATGCTACCAGTATTTCAAATACCAGCAGGGTCATGCACAGTGGACAGGTTTCAGTAGAGCTTCCAGACTAAGAAAGACTAGGAAGAAGGACCTAGAGACCTACTTCTAAAAAAAACTAGCCAATGAAAATTTTATGAACAGCAGCTGAACATCGCCTGATATAGCGCCAAAAGATGAGCCTCTCAAGTTGGAAGGTTCTCAACGTATGGCTAGGGAAGAGCTGCCTTCTAAAAGTAAACTCACAAACTTTATTGAACATTACAATTTCCTTGGTGAAAAGGCAGCTTTTAAAAATCCTTATGCCCAGGCCAAACCTCACACCAATAAACCATAATATCTGGGGGTAGACACAGGCATCAGAATTTTTTATATCTCCCAGGTTATTCTAATATGCAGACAAGTTTGAGAACCAGTGCATTATATCACATATATAAAGCCAAACTCACTGCTGTTGAGTCAAACCTGACTCACAGCGACCCCTCCTTGAGTTTCTGAGGCAGTATCACTACAGAAGTAGATTGCCCAACCTTCCTTCTGGGAAGTAGCTGGTGAATTTGAACCACCAGCCTTCTAGTTAGTAGTCAAATGCCTTAGGCCTTATGCCACCAGAGCTCCTATACCACTTATATACTTGTTCCTATATTCAAGTGGGCCTTTACAACTTAAACTGTCTCCTCTGTTAATATTTATCCTGGTTTTTTCCATTTAATTATTCTCCTGAAGTTTCACCTCCCTTTGTTGCAGTTTCTTTGGATCATGCAGCACATACTGAACTTCCTGAATTAGAGCTTTCTTCAACTACTCAATTAGTACCTTTATTTATACAATTATATTCTGTTTTCCTTCTAGACCTTATTTATTTATTTTAATTTTTATTGTGATTTGGAAGAGATCTGATAGCATAGTACCTAAGGCACTTGACTGCTAACCAGAAGTCTGGCGGTTCAAACCCACCAGCCACTCCTTGGAAGGAAGATGGGGCAATCTACTTCCCAGGTGATACTGCCTCAAGGAGGGGTTGCTATGAGTTGAGTCTGACTTGGCAGAACATAACAACAACAACAACATTGTGATATGGGTCAAAGTTTATACAGCAAATTCATTTTCCATATAGTAGTTCATACACATTTTGTCTCAAGACATTGATTGCAATTCCCCACAATGTTAACAGCTTTCTTCCCACTTCTTCTCCGTAGTTACCTCTTCCCTGTGTCCTTCCCTCCCATGTACTCTCACTCCTCACTCCAGCTATCTCCCTGTTCAAATACTGTCCTTTTATTTTCCATGACTGATTGCTCCAAGGAGTATATCTACTTGATGTAAATGTTCACCCCATACGCCTAACTATTGTTTGGCTGGAAGCCACAGTAGTGAGTTCAATTCCAGACCTGAAGGGTGGCTAGAGGGCATAGTCTCAGGGGTCTTACCAGGCTCTATCAGACCAGCAAAACTGGTCTTTATGCTTTTGAGTTTCATCCCACATTGTTCTCCCACTTTATCCAGGATCTCCGGTACTGATCCCCCTTCCAAGTGGTTGACAGTGGTAGCTGGGCACCATCTAGTTCTTCCAGTTTCATGGTCATATAGACTGAGGATCACATGGTCTACCAGTCCCTTGGACTGTTTCCATGCATCACTGGTTTTCTTCTTTCTTCTTTGCTCTGTTAAGTCCAGACTTATTTTATAGCTACCTTTAATTACTAATTAAAGAACATCTAATATCCCTTACCAGATAACATCTTTTCCAGCTGAAAAGGTGTCTTCTTACACTTCTTTTGTGTCCCAAAGCATTTAGTACAGGTCTAATCAGCAAAGCAGACAACACTCACTACACATCTATTAACTCACCTTTCACTGCTTAATGAAAGATTATATGCAATGGTCTGAAAACTCCCTTCTATTTCTGTAGCTTTAAAAGCAACTTAAAGAGGAATCTCATGATGTTGCTCAAAAGAAGCCAGACACAGAAGGAGTTTTACTGAATCATTCTAGTTATATAAAGTTAAAAAGCAGGCAACACTAATCTATGTATTAGAACTCAAGATGCTGGTAACGTTTGGGAAGAAAGGAAGAGATGTAATTGATAGAAAATAAGTAATTGGTAGAAGGAGGAGCTTCTAGGATGCTAGTCATAATTAAGTATTGGTTTCATGGATGTTTTCACTCTGTAGTAATTCAATGAGGTACACAACTATGACCTCTGTACTTTTTTTTATGTGTGCTATATTTAAAGAGAAAAGTTTTTAAAAAATCAAAGCACCATCTAAAAAAAATCTGCATAACCATCTTCTTTTCCAAAAGAATCCGTTTCTTACAAATTTAGCAAATTAAACTGACTTGTATATGTTATAAATGTAAACAAATGAACTACTGGTAGTCTGAAAATAAATACTGAAATACCAAAGTTTCAAACCAAAGTGTGGCTAAAGCTTGTAAAGAAAGAATACAATAAGCATGAGAACATAAACTTAAAATAATTATTATATTGTATGTCAGATAATGAAAAAAAAAGTCAAACCTGTACATCTAGTCTCCATTCAAGGCTGTGGTAACTGGGAAGGTCTGGTGCCAATTCACTTAGAATAGTTCTGATCTCCTTTCTGTTGTCTAGATAAAGTTGAAGCAACAATCTGTTCAATTCCTCCGAGAATCCCAGAACAAAAACAGAGTCTTGGAAATCCAGTTCAGAAATCTAAAAGTGAATTGAGTTTAACAGAATATCAAAATTTATCCTTGCTTACTAGATGCTAAAACATTTGATATAAACAAAAGAATATGATACTCCTTAATTTGCTTCTATGTAGTAAAATAGACAATATCCTTCATAAAGACAACTCTTGCCCACTATTCTAAAATTTGAATTAGTGATACATAAAAATATTAATACTTTATTAAAGTATAAAAAGGGAAGGATGGAAGTGCCTATTTTTCTCTCCTAATCTCCATATATAATATGCAAAGAAAATAAATCATTTCATTAGGATACATACTATGGAAGAGATTTTAATTTACTAACAGGAATTAATACCAGCAGATCATATTATAGTCATATTGTTTAAGTATATCTTCACAAAATCAATTATAAACCATTAACAATTCTAAAATACCTAGGTACCTACCAGGACTATGATATAGAGTACATGAACTTTTCTTAAGGGTGCAGGTAATACAAAACAGACCACAGAGGCCCTTACCATGAGCTTTGAGCTCTCAGTCAGGAGGTATGTTAATCCTTCTATACCATGCTGGACGATGTCACTACTCACACTGAGCTTTCCTGAGAAAGGAGAGGAAATACTATCAAGTAAATTATTGTGTGATATTTATCTTTTCATTCAAAATCTTATTTTACGAATAAATATTATCCATTACTGCAGTTAGAAATGAGTTGGTCATGGCTCTTGTTTGTTCTCACTGCACTCTCAATCAGTGCCCTCAGTATTACCTGAAAGTCCCTGGGGGTGCAAGTAGTTTGCCAGTGAGCTGCTAACATTAAGGTTGGTGGTTCAAACCCTACCCAGTGGCACAACAAAAGAAATGCCAGTATATCTGCTTGCATAAAGATTACAGTTGTTAGTTGCTGTGGAGTGGGGCCCCTACTCATGGCAACCTCTTGTGTTATAAGGTTATAAGGTAGGAGTGCTCCACCAGGTCTTCTTGGCTATAATCTTTATGGCCTTTTCTCCTTGGGTTTCAAACTGCCAACATTTGGTTGATGTTGTTATGTGCCGTCAAGTCGGCCCCGACTCATAGCGACCCCTCCTTGGGCTTCCGAGGCAGTATCACTACGGAAGTAGGATTGCCCAACCTTCCTTCCGAGGAGTGGCTGGTGGGTTTGAACCTCCAGCCTTCTGGTTAGCAGTCAAGTGCTTTAGCCACTATGCTACCAGAGCTCCTATTTGGTTGATAGCCAAATGCAAAAGCAAAGACTAAAGTCAAGAAAATCATCTGTAACAGTTGTACTCTGTAACACACGGGATCGCCATGAGCCAGAATTGACTCCACATTAATGGGTTTGGTTTTTGGTTTAACTTTCTTTACAAAAAATGCAGCCCCGTGCAGCCCAATACCAGGCGCACAACCCTTTTCATGGAATTTACAGCTCCTTCAAGGCTGGCAGAAGGTCGAGACACGGGTTGACTTAATATCGGAAATCGCTCTGCATTTAAGGAAAAACACACACAGACATACTTCTGTACAAGTAGATGTCTGAACAATTAATAATAACCAAACACTTGCATAATATTTACAGCTGATCCAGCTATTCCAGACGTCTGTGCATTTAAGTATCATCACTTGAAAGGCAGGTGATATTATGTCCATTTTCACACATGAGAAAAAGGGCTTAATAGAGGCTTTAAAAATCTCACAGCTACCCAGGGGGCAGGCAGGATTTGTACCGGAACTGAAAAGCCCTCCTGTTTTTTTCCTACCAGCAGGTCTTGGGAACAAGATCCTAGGAGTCTCAGTAAGCCCAAACTCTCCAGGACAACGGAGAACAGCCCATGCCGCACAGTGCAACCTGCAGAGCCGCACCCCTTCCCTCCTTACTAGCCGCGCCTTCGTAGATCTTGGGGTTTGAACCTCGTCTCAGAAACTCCACCGCAATCCGGCCAAACTCGGCGACCACTGCAACGGAAGGCAGAGGGCGTGAGCGCTAGCTGATTGCCTTGGTCCCCTCCCCAGCCCAAGAATCCCGTCCCCTGACCCGCGCGGTCCACTCCAGGAAGGAAGGCCAGGTGCTCCTTATGTTCCTCCGACAGGTCCAGCAGCATCTTCATGGAATGCGAATTTCACCCGGCAGCGAAAATCCAACCCCTCGCTACTTCCGGGGCCCGCGTTCAAGCGTAAAGTGGCTCCGGCGCATCCGCATCCGGAGCTTTGGGTTCCGGCCCGCTGCAATCCAACGCTCTGGGCACCTCCTGTGGGGCCTGTGGGGGTCGAAAGGTTCTTCCATTCACAAATCATCCGCAAAACACTGTAGTGCCTAGCGGGTGCACTGTGTTAGGCTCTGTGGGAATTGAAATGATGTTTTAAAACCAACAACACTCCCGTGGAATTTCCATGAGTAATGCCAGTAGTGGCTCAGTGGTTAAGCGCTCAGCTGAGAAGACACCAGCTCTCGGTAGAAACATGTGATGGTGTGCTTCCCTAAAGATTTAAAGACTGGAAACCAGAATAATTCTGCTCTGTCCTATAGGGTCCATATGAGTTGTAATCAGGCTCAGATTAAGGTATGTGAGGGTTCCAAACACTGATAATCTGTGGTTTCTCCTCCTCTGTTTACTCACACTTTGTATTAAACTCTATAAAACATTACTGACAGAAATGAAAGAAGATTTAAATAAACAGGGATTTATACATAGGATGGAGAAATATATCATTGTAAGATTATGTCACATAATGTATAGTATCTTAATGTATAAGAATAATATTGTAAGATTCAATAATGTTAAGATGTCAGTTGTTGCCAATCAAAATCCCAACAGGCTTTTTCGTTTTTACAGTTGGTGGTGGTGTTGTTATATGCCCTCAAGTTGGACCAGACTCATAGTGACCCCTCCTTGGGTTTCTGAGGTGATATCACTATGGAAGTAGATTGCCCAACCTTCCTTCCAAGGAGTGGCTGGTGGGTTTGAACCGCCAGCCTTCTGGTTAGCAGTCAAGTGAGTTAAGCACTACGCTACCAGATCTCCCTGTTTTTATAGAGAATGATAACTATAGAGAGTTTAAAATTCATATGGAAATGCAACGGACTGAGAAATAGTAAAACCAATTTTGAAAAAGAATAGTAAAGTTGGAGCACCCATACTACCTGATTTCAAGACTAACTATAAAGCTAAAGTAATTAAGACAGTGTGGTTTTAGCATAAGGATAAACAAATGGATCAATGGAATAGAATAGAGAGTCCAGAAAAAGATCCATACATATAATGTCAGTTGACTTTTGTAAATTTTTTAGTGTAGTAAAATAAAAAAAAAAACTCACTGCCGTCGAGTTGGTTCTGACTCATAGCAATCCCTCCTTGGGTTTCCCAGGCAGTATCTCTACAGAAGTAGATTGCCCAACCTTCCTTCTGAAGAGTGGCTGGCTGGTTTGAGCTGCCATCCTTCTGGTTAGCAGTCAAATGCCTTAGGCACTATGCCACCAGAGCTCCCAAAATATATTTAGCAAATTGTTATTTTAACCATTTTAAGTGTACAATTCAGTGACATTATTTACATTCATCATGTTGTACAACAATCACCACTATCCATTTCCAAAAGTTTTTCATCACCCTAAACAAAACTCAGTACCCTTTATGCAGTAACTTTCCATTTTCCCTTTCACTCAGCACCTGGTAGCTTCTAATAAACTTTTTTGTTTCCATGCATTTGTTTATTCTAGATATTTCATATGAGTTGGATTATGTAATATTTGTCCTCTTGTGCCTGCCTTATTTCATTTAGCATAATGTTCTCAAGGTTCATCTATGTTGTAGTTTGTATCAGAACTTCATTTCTCTTTATGGCTGAATAATGTGTATACTACATTTTGTGGATCCATTGCTGTTGATGGATACTTGGCTTGTTTTCACCTTTTGGTTATTGTGAATAATGATGCAATAAACATTGGTGGACAGGTATCTGAGGCCTTGCTTTCAAATCTTTTAGATCTATATCTGAGTGGAATTGCTGTCTCATATGATAATTCTAGGAATTTTTACCAGCAGATCATATTACAGTCACATAGTTTAAGCATACGTTTCTCTGCTTTTTAGGGAATGTTGACAGTTCGGTCTCATGTAGTTAATTGTTTAAGGGAGCAATTACTCCTGGGTGATATTGGAGGTCAAATATATCCAACAATAAACTCAAACTATTAGGTAGTTTCATAAAATGTTAAATGTATATTTATTTTATAATCCAGCAAATCTGTTCCCAGGTATTTACCCCCAAAAAATGAAAACATATGTCCATAAAAAGGTTCTTACAATAATATTCAGACCAGCTTTTCATAATACCCCAAACTCAAATGTCCATATAATTGAAATAGATAAGCAAATTGTATTACATCCATACAATGAAATACTACTTAACAATGAGAAAGAATGAACTAGTTATGCAATCTGCAACATAATTGAGTCTCAAAATATAAAGTTGAGCAAAAGATTCCAGAAACAAAAGTGATCAACTATATGATTCCATTGATTTGGAGTTCAAGAACAGAGAAAACTTGTCTATGGTGATAGAAATCAGAATAGTGGTTACCAATAGGAGGTTGGGATTGACTGGATGGTAACTTTTTTTTTTTTTAATTGTGTTTTGAATGCAAATTTCCAAAGCAAATTTGTTGTCCATTCAATAATTCATCACATTTGATTTCACAGCCCCCATTACCATCCCCAACCATGAAAAACTATCCTCCCTTTCCCTCCCTGTTACTTCTTCCTCCCTGTGCCCTTCTTAACTATGCATTCTTGCCTGTCCAGCTTTCCCTCTATGTGAATGTGCCCCTCTGGTGTCTCACAGCTGATTGATCTAAGGGATGCATCTCTCTAGAGTAGGTGGGTGCATCACTCTGGGGTAGGTATTCTGCATGTGGGTCTTTCTTCTGTTGGGCTGAGAGCTAATTCGTTGAAGTGAGTCTATTTCTAGGCCCGAAGGGTAACCTGGGGCCATAGTCTCAGGGGTTCCATCAGTCTCTATCAGACCAATAATTCTGGTCATCTTTGTGTTTTTGAATTTTGTTCCATATTTTTCCTCCCTCTCTATCCAGGATCTCCAGTTTTGATCCCTTGCCAAGCAGTTGGCATTCAGAGCAGCTTTTCATAATACCCCAAACTCAAATATCCATATAATTGAAATAGATAAGCAAATTGTATTACATCCATACAATGAAATACTACTTAACAATGAGAAAGAATGAAATAGTGATGCAATCTGCAACATAATTGAATCTCAAAATATAAAGTTGAGCAAAAGATTCCAGAAACAAAAGTGAATGTCAACATTCCCTAAAAAGCATCTGGTTCTGGTGTCGGGGTCTATCTTATATTTGGACTAATTGTTTCCAGATGACTTTGATTTTCTTTACTCTTCTTTGCTCCAGATGAGAGGAGACTAGTAGTTGCCTCTTAGATGGCTACTCAAAAGCTTTTAAGACCCCAGTCACTACTCACAAAAGTAGGTTGTAGAACAAGATTTTTATGTACTATGTTGTGCCAGTTGAGCATTAAGTCCCCCAAGACTATGGTCCCGAGTCCGCAGGCCTGGTGATTCTCTCTCTTAAGGTGTTTGGTTGTCTCTGAGTAGTTACTCCAACACTGCCTTCTGTTGCTTTTGTAATGTATGTGGCTAGCTTTGTAGCAAAAGTGCATATGTAAGATTATCTTCAGCCAAGTCTATCCTTGGTCTAGGGTATATTCCTTTTCGCCTCCCCCACCTGATCGTCTCACTTGTTTATGCATTTCTTCATAGCCTGGTGTTTGGTGTTAGTAGTATTGCAGTATTGTACATGTAACAGTATTCGCCTCTGTCGTCTATATCTTTTGTGCACATTTCAGTGTCTTTTGACTGGATGGTAACTTGAAGGAACTTTTTAGAAAAATAGAAGTGTTCTACATCTTGATCAGTTATACAGATGTATATATTTTTTGAACCAACTGAATTTTACACTTAAGGCAAGTATAAATTACTATACATAAAATTCTCAATTTTAAAAAATTAATTGAAAGCAGTGTTTTCACGGAAGCTCAAACAGGTGTCTGACAAGTACTAAGTCTGAAGGTTATTTATAACTGTTTTAACTTGCCCTACATAGATATTTTTAAATTTATTTTTTGTTATGTACTACACTCTTAAGTTTTCAAAACAAACTCAGGAAAAAGAAAAAAGAAAGAAATACAGTAAAAGTTCTTATTCCCATCCTTGTTCTGAGTTCCCCAACCCCATAGGCAACTGCTATTCTTAGTTTCTTATGTATTCTTCTTCAAACTCTTTAAGCAAAAATAAATGCTCTAAATTTTTCACTTAGAGTGGTGGAGTCCAAGAAAACGTGGTGCTAGACATTAAACAGCCTGTTGATAGTCATGTAGCATCAGAATTGTTAGTATTAGAATTCGTGGTTTGCTGTCTTATTTGATCATTTATTTGCCCAAATTCTTTACCATGATTTTTCAAAGCACAGTTTCCCAAAGATTTTCATGTGCTGTTCAACTTTCTTGGGTCGTTAGGTTGGAAATGCTCTTTTTGGCCAGGACTCGTGCTATTCCTAACTGCTGCAGCCATGATTTCTCTTTAAATGCACTGCAAGAAAACAAGGAATGATTAATGAGAGGATCCAATCTTTGTCCACTTTGTAGCTGAAAAGATGGAAATTTTCAGGTTGATTATGTATCTGCGGCTGGTTTATTTTGTCACGTGAGGCAGAATGTACAATAGCAAACAGGACTCTTTCTAAAAACAGTTCCTTGTGAAGCAGTGTGACTGATATTCTTCCAAGGCAATAATACTAGTTTGGAGCCCACAACTAGAAACAGAAAACCAATAACAACACCATGTTGATTTCCTCAAGTTGGAACTTTTTCTATCTGTCCTCCTGTAGGCATCTGCCTGTATCATACTCCCAGACTTCTCCCTTATACCCCACCCAACACCACAAACATAAATTAGGCTTTTGCTATTGATTAGGTACTAGATATTTTGATATCCTTTAACTGAAATGCAATGAAACTTAATGTTTGATTGTTATTATATGCTAATAACTACTTGTAGATTTGTATTATATGACTCCTCCTACTTTGTGAGATGAAAATTAATTTACTAAAGAGGGGTTGTACATTCCC